ATGTTGAGTAGATGGTATGCAGAATTTCGGCTGGTCGAAGCAGAAAGCCCACAGAACAGTAAAACTTCCCACTTCCTCGTCCCTTTTTGTATAGTGTTCCTGCCGTCTGTCTGTCGTTTTTCCAGAGCTTCTGGTCTGCAAGGGAGCAACCCAGAATAAGGAAGGCCTAATCAGTCGATATCTTTTCCATTTTCAAAGTTGGAGCGTGCTTGGAGGGTCTTGTCCTCTGGAAACATACTTTGTTTGTATTTGTGCGTGTAAAATTTGTTTTATGACATGCGCTTTAGGGATCGTCTGTCTGCTGCACAATGCAGGCAGCACGCTTGGATCCAGTCGAACCTGGTGGACAGCGCGATCACGCCGAACAGTGTATCCCTCCAGTCTGTGGTTGAATCCAACTCTGAAGAGCTACCTGAAGCCCAGGTCACTACTGCCGTTGCCGCTGTCGATGAGCCGATGCCCCAACGGGCCACACCGAATACAGCTCCACCTCTAACTATAGCTCTACCCGTCGTTCGACAGTCCCAGGTCTGTCAGCGGGTCGAGGCAGTTCTAACCTCCTGTCTGCGTGGATCCGTTACTACTGGCATCAGCCAAAAAGGTGTGGAGCATCAGCTCCGCCTAACTACTGAGCGGGATTTATCCAATTCGAAACGCAAATTAACGAAAGGCGGCAATGCTGGCAGCGACGCGCGACTGCGTCTTTTGGGACGTCGCGGCGCCTCTGAGTCCAGAGTTCTTAGTTCCACACTTACGCAGGTGGAAGAAGAGGAGGCGGAAAGGAGAAACACACCGCCAGATCGTCGTCCACGACTGCTCTTCGACTATCCGCTCACGGGACTGGACCTGTTTCTGCGCTCTGTCCTATATTGCGGCCTGCAGAAGGCGCCACATTCACCCCTAGTCTTCCCAGCGACTGCAGGAGCAGCGGTTAGCAGCTCGTGTGCGGACTTTGCACCGCACTCCTCCTTTCTCAGATATTCTCCCCTCACTTCGACAGCCTTTCTGGACCTGGCGGCCCCGCGTTTGAAATTGGAGATCCTGCCGCCGTGGGCTGCCGACGCTGCAAACCAGCTGCTGCCAAAAGAGGCACTGCCTCGCGAAGAGGCTCCTGTGCCGCAGGTCTAGTCACCCCGCCTGCCCGCCCGTTTATCCGTCCCCACTGCCTAAACAAAACGCCTTAGGCCATCCTCCTCCTCCTCCTCCTCCTCCTCCACACCCCACCTGTCTCTGCATTTGCCCTGGGGTCTGCTCCCGTCGACGACCTTTAGTATTTTATTTTGTCTCTCTCACCCCTATATTTTTGTTTCATTTTGTATAGCTGCCTCTGTTTCTTCCTGCCTTTGTACAACCCTGCTTTCGGGTCTGGAGCTTGCTGCTCTTGGACCCGATTCCTCCCTCAACCTCTCCCACATCTTGGAACCTTATTCGTTTTTGGCCTAATGTGGCCGTAATTATTATTCTTGCTGTTATTGTTTTCTCTCACATTTTCACCTGGTTGCCCTGCTTCGGCTGGTTTGTTTTGGGCGCATTTATGCAGAAAAAAAGTACCTTTGAATCACAATTTTTGCTAACTGACGCTGTTAGCTGTCGGCTTTGCTAGACAGCACACAAGCGGACCTATTACCCAGGAATTATTGGACATATAGCTGCTACTTATTTATCACCAGTAGTGTGATATGATGGGCTCGTGTTTTGCGAGTTTGATTCGAAACACATCAATTACGAACATCCTCCTTACGGCATGTAATCATGCGAATGGCGTTAGCGCTTTACATTCAATGACGTAGCTATTTTAGGTCGATAGGCCTTTATTCGAGTCAACGTTATCTTGATTTAGTCGATATTGTCTTTAACCATACTAGTGGCTCTTTCTCGCGGGCCCCTTACTAACTTGGGATCGTTTCGCTAAGGACTGGGCTGGCTCTCCATATATGCAAATGTCGGTGTTGCCTGCTCGAATATGCCGCTCTTAGAGTTTGTTGTTGAGCTTAGGAAGTGAATTACCGTCGCCAACCTGATTGGCGCATTTCGTACGCCACAGGCACCCTCTTGCGTTCACACTGGTTGATTTAGACGAGGGAATGGAGAGTTCACGAAACTTGAGTAGCGAATTTTTGTGCTACTGATTGTCGCCAACTTGTTCTCTCCAGCCAAGTAACCCAAAGTCCCACCATTATCATATCACGGGTGTGGGGGATATTGGCAATGGAGATGGGAGTAATAGGCTAGTCTAGCCTCAGATTTTCGGTCGTATGGGTCTGTGGTGGGAACGTTACTTCGGCGTTTCAGAAAACCGTTTTTCATCTTTAAAGGTATGAGGATGAGATGAGGTAGAGGATGAGGCCATACTTGTTATCATTTGTCATTGAGCCGTTTTTTGCTCACAACCAAGTTTTTTAGTGCAACGGTAGAGTGGAGGACCCCAGATAACAGTCGATAGATTCTGGATCGTGCCGTGTGATTTTACCTTGACATCCATTTGCAGGCTGTCGCCGACATTGCACTGACAACAACTATTGCTTCTTATGACCTCAGACCATTATTCAAACTCTGTTATTTTTTGAGATTCACTTCTCGTTCATATTTTAATTAGTGCGCTCATTCCCACTGCCATACGAAAGCGTACGATAAGACTCACCAGGAATCCGAACAATTTCTGTGTTTTCTTGCATTTCGTCAGCTTTCTGTCCATTGTGCTGCCCCACCCGTAAAACTCCCGTGACCGCAATTCCAGTATGACTCGAATCTACACCCCCACTGATAGTTATTTACGTGGAGTCCTTCACCCCACGGCTGCCCTTTTAATTCAGCGTTTGCTGCTTAGTACGAAACCGGATTTTAAGAGTGTGCAACCCAGCCTAAAACTAGTTGCAGTGGAGACTGCATGAGAACTGAGAAAATAGGTTCTGTCGAGGTGTGTTCTCGGTAGATTAGTTTGGTCATCTCACGCATTCCTTCTCAACTACAGTTCGACCGTCCTCCGGATGCCCCCCAGAATTGTGGGCTGAGGGTCGGTGATTAGTCCGTGAGTTAGTTTATAACGATAGTGGACTTGCGCCGCGTCTACCACACCCACCCCTTCCTTACTTACTTGAGCCCGGTGCCAAGACCGGAAGCGGGATCGGGCGCAATAGTAGACAAAGCCTAAACAGCCCATCTGCGGGTGTTACACACACCTGGTCCGCGAACGATGGACCAGATCTTCACAGGGGCAAGGAAGGTAGTTGGTTCGGATCCCGTATTAGTGTGTGTGCGCCGTCCGGAAGAGGCCATTGCAGCCTGTTTACAGTGAGGACTAAGTGCTATGGGAACGAAGCCTACAGAGTCGACCTCACTCTCTCTTCGCGCAGGCACCAGTCAGTTCCCAGAGCTGGTTAGTCACCTGATGCGAGATTGGGCGCAGGTGACTGGCACGACGCGATCCTGCGCCTAGATGTGCCACCACACCCCCTCCCCAGGCATGGCATTCGTTATAGGTGGGCTGCCCAATAATGCGTGCTTCACCCTGATATGGTCCCCGCGCTGGTGCCACGCGACTCCCGCGTGACCTGTAGTGGGGAGCATGTGATCGACTTACTAAAGTAATGAGCTATCTGTCAATTCTTTCATGCTGGAATTCAGGAAATTAGGGCAGCCGGTACATTCGACTAAGCGGCGCGCTGCTGTTAAGGTTTCCCTTCTGCTTTTTCCTTACAGCAGTCTGAGCAGGGTCCCCCGCTGGGTGGCAGTCCTTATGCTGTCCACGGAAATACACAACTCATCCCCTCCCATTAATGACCTACCGCCGGCAGTTTGCCTATGCTTCATTAATGCTATCAGTGGTGGCGCTGCCCCTGCGGAACTGCGAATACGTGGATGCAAGACTTCTTAGTTGAGAACTATTACCGATAGAGAAAAAAGAGACTAGAATGACTGTTTAGGGTTTATCTTGGTCGCCAGTCAGCCATACTCCAAGCGTCGGAGAGCCGTAGTTCGAGTCCGCGTTGGAATAGAGCATTGCGCAAAACCTGCTTTTTGAGTTAGGTGTTTAGGATCAGTCGATTGCAAACAGAGAGGTTTAGTCTCAGTAGAAGTGGCGGTTGTATGTCGATTTTGGTTGTGGGTCGGGTATGGGCGTGCTGCATCGTCATGAGGCTCTTCTTTACACCAGCCTTCTGACATTATTCGTAACTATGCTTTTCTCTCCCAGTATTCCCTCGCTTTGTATTTATTATCATAAGGTAGACTTTGTGACTCTACGGGGTTTGTGCTCTCTGGGTGGCAGTCGCCAAGACCCCTCTAGACCCCGCCCTCCCCCCAGGAGACATTCTTGTGGCAAAGGTCACCCACGAGATCGCCCTAGTTATAGAGCAGGTAACATTTACATGGTTCACCGTCGAAATTTTTAGGAGAAATATGACCTGAACCAGGGACATTCCGGTGAAGACGAGTTTTCGCTTTAACCGAAGCCTTTGCTTCGCACGTTATTAACGTCAGCAGAGCACTTATATACCATTTACATCCTTAAAAACGTTTTGCAGATATCCGACCCACTAAAAGGATACTCTACGTTTTAGGAGTCGAATCGGTCTGCTTTAAGAGTTCCGGGCAAATTCATATGTTGTCCTCGAAGCCTAAGCCAACAGGAGCCTACCAATCATTAGACATAAGATTGCTTATCAACCGTAGCCTACAAAAACTACAGCCCACAGAATTTGCAACACTTTTGTCCCCAATTTTCCCCCTGAACTGGCCTCCAACGATGCAAGCGGCACGCTTTGGCTTTGCATAATCCAGCATCAAGATGTCGAAAATTTGCAATTCTTGTCATTTGAGGCAGAGTATATCATAAGAACAAGAGAGAAGAAAAAAACGCAAGAAAATAAGGTAAGGAAAGACATGAGCATATAGGCCAAACATCTCTGTGAAGGTGAAAGTCGTGTTTAGGCCTCCCGTAGTTTAAGGCAGCTAAGGCATCTAGTAGTCATGGAACGTTGGATGATCGCAGTGTTGGCAGATTACTGCCTCTCCAGATACTTGAGACCACCGTCTTCCAGAAGTCTCATCCGAAGACGGTAGAGTTCACCGGAGATACGAGCTTCTTCAGAACACTTTGCAGCCACATCGGACTCCAGGGCTGAGACTGTCATTCGCATCTGAGCTATCTGTTTGTTTGCCTCCTCCACAGCCTTCAACAAGTTCGCTACTAGAAGAGGGAAGGCCGGATGGGGGAAAGGCAATGTGAACCGACAGTTGACCAGCACTTTAGCGCAAATTCCAACAACTTTGCAAATAAAGCATACCGACTACAATGAAGATGAACTATAGGTAGGTAGGAAGCTACCCTGTCTGATGAGTCAGAGCGACTGAACAACTTCCAACAAGTTACTGAAAATTTGCTATCAGCGAAAGTGTCCGAGGGGATCTGTTTCCAAAAACCTGCAGTTGTAAAGGTCCTGACATCGAAAGAAATAAAAAACTAATGGAATGATTATAGTTCCAGAGGCCAAATTACTTGACTCGTTTGTTGAGGTCTGCATTCACGAAGTCGGCACAGCCATACAACGTAACTTGGACTTTCTTGCATTCGGATGCGAAAACTTTGGACTAAATATAAACACACAGGAAACAGTCCTCGTGCACCATTGGGTTCGAACTGACGAAAACTAGTTATCGCCCCACTACTGGGTAGCATAATCTCGATGAGCAACACACCCTACGACCTAATCGCAGCAGGTCGCCAAAGTCAGCCGAGACTCCGACAAGCTACTAACTTTAGCCTGGAGCAGCCGATATATCCCCCTCAATATCAATCTAAGGAACTGTAAAGCGCCGCCGGGTCCAGGCGAAGAAAATAAATCCTCGTTGCCACTGCTGTCGTCGAGGACCTTGAAGATGAAGTCTCACCAAAGAGGGATCCGGGAGGTACAGGACAAAAAATCGGCTGTCAGGCTGAACATCTGTTGAACTGTTGGAGCAGATTCGGCTTCGATTTTTCTTCCGGGTTCTAAGAAACATTGATGAATGTTTAGAGAAAAGACTTTTCCGTGAGACACTGCTAGAGGTCCCACGGGAAAGGAGGACGTAGAAAAAGCAACAAGAACACCTTCAAGGCATCACTCAGGTGCTGCGGAAAATCAATGTGTCTTGGTTAACTCATGTACAGGACCGATGGAGATAGGACGCGCGTTTTACAACGGCACGATGACCTTGAAAACTAAACAAATGCATAATAACACGGCCTTGGGGGTCACCCATGATAGTCTACTCGGCGTAACGACTGCGACCCAACCTCCCCCATCCGCTTGTCAGTTAAATGCTTGCGGCGCTTGTGGCTTATTCCGCGGCTTGGCTAAAGCGTGACGCCCATCGGCAATCTGGTCTTTTTTGATTGGCCGCAGCCGGGTGCGGCTCACGCCTCGCGATGACAACAACAACTGACCCTCGGAATGGTGGAGCTGATGTTTGAGTTGATTATATGTTTAGGATCAGAGCAAAGAACTGTCCTGCAAGGTTCGCTTCTCTGACTTTTTATTTGGGTAAGTTGTCGTCGTCGTCCATTACACTGCGACTTACCCTCGAAACCGTCGCAACAAAACTATACTAGTTAAGATCAGTGAAGGCTGCTAGCGTCTCCTTAACTGCCAGAGGTCTGGCCTCACGTTCAGGGTTCGGAGCACCCTGACATGACACCCACGTGTTAGTCAACCCAAGACCAACAGAATAGCCGGAGAAATCCTGCACCGACATCCGCTGTAAGCGTATATTTGTGTCTGAAAAGTCTAATCGTTTCAAAAAATATTCAAATCACAACCCTGGCCAGTTTAGGAGTGCGACAGGCCGACTTCTTTAACTTTGCTCTGTTTTGCGACACACCTGCAAAAATCGTGGTTTCGGACGTGAATAAAATCTGAAACGAATCGAGGCCTTTTTTAAAGGAAGAATAGGCAGGGGGGAGAGAGCTAGTCCTGTGCAATTCTACTACCGAAATGCTACTAGCCAGCGGCTGCGGTTATAGTAAGACACATAAATATGCGAGACAAACTCGTAGGTTTGGTCAATAGGATCAGATATCGTTGGGAATGTGATTCAAACCTCAAAACCATACCAACATGCGGTTTTAAGGTATAGAAATAACAAAACACTGATTTTCTTATAGTTTTTCTCAACACTGCAGACAGCAGTCAGGCAAAGAGGCACATAAACATTTTTTAAGTTTGAGAAATAATTTTGAAGTTGTGAAAATCCCCATAACTATGTTCAGAAGGGACAGTGGCGAGCGAACGTTCCTTTCGGTAACTTCTCGTCAGGCCAATACAGTTACATAGGACGGGGTACAGTAGGTGAAAAAAATCGATAAAATTGAGTTTTTAAATCCCAGGCTGGGCAAGAGCGGAAGGGCGCAGAAAGTTCATGTGGTTAGTCAACCTTCGACCACGGTAAGCGCGGAGCCTGAACAAGGTTCTTTTGGGCGCATAGGGCCGGTTTTCGTAACCTGATGGCGGCTGCTTCTGCTGTTGCTAACAGGCGCTGGTCCAGTAGCTTAGGGTAGCTCAAGGGGACCTTCTATATCGTCCATGAAATAGCGGTGAATACTTAACGACTTTCAGTGTTTTCAATCGATTTTTCATAAATGTAGATTCTGTCGCCCACATGATTATCAAAACCTTCAAGATGAAAGCATTTGCCGAAGGGCGCGTGCATAGGATTCTTTCTAATGCAGATGGCCGTTTGAGTCAAAGTTTGTAGATTCCTTCAAACATGAAACACCATCGCCGAGATAAATGAGAGTACACAATGGAAGTCGGCAATGAATAGGTTCTGGTTCAGATGCAATCTTTCCTCTCATAAGTTACATCTATTTTAAAAGCGCTCTAACTAGGTGAAATTGGACCCTTTGGTAGTTTTTTCATTCCCGGAAAAATGTTGTAGGAGCCATTTTGCTATATTTGCTTACCTTAGGGCTCCGTTCTATGATTATTAATGCACAATAGGGTGGCTATAAAAATACTAAGATATCGGTAAAACCGCTGACCAGCTGCCCCTTTCGTTTATAAACTAGGCACAAGTGGAAACTAAACTACATAAAAAGAACTTTAGCATATGCTTATATCGTGGAGGACCTTTCGCAGTAGGTTTTTGGGTATTCGCAATGGGCAGAAAAATGTCGGGACGTTTAGACAAAGGACTGCCTGCAGGCATTATTACTGCGTTTTCATGCATAAAATCACGCATATTTGTAAATCTGACTTTTAAAATAGACGAAATTACAAGTTTTATAAAAACAACCTTCCTGCTTACACTCTCCTCCATCTGATATACTTGGAGAAAAAGGCCGTTTTCAAGAGCGGCACGTTTCGTTTGGCAAAACCCACGAAATAAGATTACTCTCCTTTGATAGAAGGGCATTGACGAATACGTAAATTTAGTCAATTACAGCTACTAATGTGAGAAACTGCTCGAATACAAGGTGACACAGATTTCTGCTCAATTTTGTGAGCATTTTGGCTGCCAAAACGATCCATACACATATTCTGCGTGTGAAAAAGGGCGTTTTTGGGAACTGATTTAATAAATAAATGGACTTAGGGGTAAGGGGTTAGAGGTTGGGCTTAGGGTTAAACCCCCTTTTACCACTGGTCTCGTATGACAGGCTACTGGGGCTTGTCTGCTGCAGATACGGCTACGAAATAAAATCCAAACGGTTTTTCTAGTGGCTCAGGAGATAGGGATTTTTTCACCTCAATTAAAACCTAGCATAAATAAGATGACGCGGCAAAAACATCTGATGTCTCACAGTAAATTCGCATGCATTCGCACCTAAACCCAACTTTTTGTAGTTGTTCTGTTTGTATTTTCGAGTTTATTTCGTGATGATACTATGGGTTAGTTGTAGTCTGCGTTATGTTTCTGTTCCATTCAAAGGTATTCTTCATGCAAAAAATGGTAGGGCTCGAAAAAAGTCCGTTTTTCTAGGGTAGGAGCACAGAGAGAAAACCTGAGAGCCACCGGCGGCCTCCTCTTACCGATTGACAAGTTAGCACGCATTTTTTAAAATTTTCGATGCTTTAGAGCACACCAGCGCACATGTAAACAATGGAAGCGCAGCCGACGACTCATTCGAAGAGTTCTGCTAAACTACTGCGGCAAGAACTGAAATGTGGGAAATTTCCGCCAATGAGAACATAACTTTTTTAACGCTTTCATTTTGCTGAAAATGTCCTAGTTTTAAGGTAAAGGCAGGTATTCCCAAATAAGCGACGTAATAACTACGACAAGGAATAGTTACGACACCCCCCTCCTCCACCAAGGGCAGCATCGGTGTAGAAAGAAAGCTGGACTTTTCGTGCGAGGTGTAGCATAAATAGGCAAGATGGGTGCAATCAGAATTTGGCTTGGAAACCCAATGTTCTCTGCCCGACCTTCATGTGCACACCAACTAGGATTCCCACTTAGGAAGCTACCAGCTCAAACGTGGCGTATGAATAATGAAACCAGAGGCCTGCAGTTGGGTCATGTGACAGTACACACGGGGGAGCTGTGGTGTCGCTTGGCCTCAAAAACAACGCTGGAGACGAAAATTTTCGCATAGCGACGGAGGCGGAATAAAAAAGAAGGAACAAGCCGACACAATTGAGGTGTCAACAAAAGGTGGTGGCGTCATCAAGTGGTAGAGCTCGTGGTCAATCGACCAGTCACAAGATAGCAAATCAACCGAGTGGAAAATATCAGTCTGACCCCTAAAGTGAGAAAAGGTTTAGCATACTGACCTCCCTCTCTCTCTCGGGCGCTCATTCTCCATAGGTCAACCTCTGGTGCAGTTTACTTGGTGGCTTTCTAACCAGGCAGAAGCAGTCATTTTGCGATCGCAGTCACCAGGCGCCAATCCCGTCTGAATACGTGACAGATGTGCTCCGACACTGACCGAGTAGCGGGAAGGCACCAGCGAAATCTTGTATTTAGGGTACTTCTGACACCGGTTTGATCTCGCTCACTCGTGAGGCCGAGTATGCAGTGTGCTTATGCAAATAGATTTGCGCCCAGCCAGAAGTAGGGTTGATTGATGTCCGCATGACTAAGTTTGAAGTAGCCGCCGTCTAAGCTCCCCTCATAAATGCCGGTCTATCTGCCGATCATAAGCGACGGGACAGCGGGTACCTGGCTAAATGGTAAGGCTTCACACTCAATAACCGAAAATCTCCGATACGAATCGCAGCTGATCCACACTTTGGGCTGGTTATGACTGGTCGGTAACGGCTAATAAGCCAGGAATGGCCACTCCGGTCTCCCTTGTCTTCGTCGGTACCATCTGATTTACATCGACTACTAATCGCTGTTCGACTGCCTGCAAGGGTTCTAGGTGGAGCTCTAAGGCACAGAGAAACGAGAACGTTCCATAAACCGATCGATAAGAGCCTATTTAGCATGAATATACATGACAAAGGTGTTATACCGATCAGGCGCCAAAACCAAAAGGGTTGGCGAACGCTTCCTTATATTAAATATGTGTCTGAACTCATCGAAAGACACCCCAGGAAGCAGCAAATACAAGTGGCACACAAACCAAGGACTCCGCCATGCAATTAGCTTGTACACCTTAAGGATAGGATTGACTATTTGGATAAAAAAGTACCCTACAAGATTCCATGTGGTACTTTTAATGCGGTATATTGCAGTCAAACCGAGAAATTCGCCTGACAGGTGGGGGAAAAAGATTCTCTAGCGAACGTATTGTACACGATGCGCGTCTTTCAGCCCCATCGCCGGCGGACACGTTAAAGCTCCTATCCGCCGTTATACAATTCCTTGTGTAGCTAAGCCAATCCTAGAACTACTGTTTCTGCTTTACATAAACGACAAACTGGAGGTAATTAGAAATAACTGTCTCTTCAGACGTTGTCAGCCAGCTTTACGCGATCACAGGCTTGCAAGGCCTGAGATTTGAAACCCCGTTCTTCGGTCAACATACGTGATTAAGCCCAGTGCCCTACCATGGAGCCACGGGCCCGTTGTTCTGTTGGTGTCGTTTGGGAGTATTAACTGTGGTAGAAGTCCGCTCAGCGATCAAGTTGTCGGACATGCGCCAAAAATGAGCAAAATACGGTTCCGATTTTCAACGGCTGGCCGACGAACGACAAAGAACACACATGCATGAACGTGCTTTGGCCGTAAAACGGAAAGATGCATGATCCCATGTCTCCATACACCGTCAGATAAACAATCATCGGTTCGACTTTGGCAAGGTCAAAGTACTCAGCCGAGAAGAAAACAAACTGGCGAGAGAGAAAGAGAGACTCGAGGACCGGTAATCTAACGACAACCTAACCAACCCTAGAGTTGACCTACCAGCACCATATGAGACTGCAAAACAAAACGTAGGCATGAAAGGAGAATCAGTGAGAACGAAGAATGAGGGAGCTCTCAGGAGTGAGACAAAAAGAATTAATAAAAACACTTTTCCCATTTTCGTCTATCTTTGATGATGCACTCAAATATGAGAGCAAAAGGTCAGACGAATAAGCCACCCTCCACAGAGGTAGCTTTATCTTCTGCTTCCCTCCCAACACGTGGGGTCAGCAGTTCCGCCTATATCCACATGCATAAAAATATGAGGCCGCGGAAAAAGTTAAGTGACTCGGGGCATCACGTGACATCCTATCAATATAAAGTCTCTGCACACTTGTTCTGAGCCTCACGGTGAGCAGTCTGCTCAGCCTACCGGGCTCACTGCCGTAAACACACACCTGCACTCTCCTGAAATGAACTGGTATTACCCACTGAGCCCTGGCTGTGTGCGGTGGCGTGCATAATGAGTAAGCGAGAACAGTGCGCCTCATCGATGATAATTGACAGCGTGATATGATTAACATCGCATGTAGGCGAGAACAACCGCGAACTTCCTTCTAACAGTGATGTTCAAGCGAACAACACTGTGACGTGTTGGACGTAGGTAACACGGGTCTGCTGTCTACTGCTTGCAATCGAATTGAATTCTGGTTTAAGTCCGCTTAAAAGCAGAATGCTGTTCGTTCTGTCCCCCTACCCACTAATCCTAGGGGCAAGATTGCATGCATCGAAAAGGTGACATGGCAGGATTAAGGGCATCCAAGTGTCGGGTGTAGAGAGAAACTTAAAAATGGATATTATTGGCCCACGTGGCACCATTTAGCTGGGTTGCGTGTTTCGCATGTTTAAGAGACAAAGTGCCCGCCAGAGCGTTATTTCTGGGAGAACTTGTATGACCGTCTGAGTGGCAGTGCAAGCACTTATGCCAGGTTAACTGAGAATCGGAAAAGCAATGGATGGGATCCTACTCAGAATACTGGGAACATCTTAAGGAAGAGTTGGAATCGTCTGGCAAGGTGCGAAGAATTTCGACTCTCTACCACAGCTACCCTAATTAATTAATCTTTTCTAAACAGGAACGCATTTGGAAATTTCGACTGACATTTCATGAGTTAGTCCACCTCATGTAAGTCCTCTGTAAGGGACCCTTTTAAATGCCACATAAACCTTAAGGTTGAGTCATTAAGTTATGACTGCCCCCCCTCCGAGTGAAGAAATTAAATTATCTGCCGACAAGGGCAGCATAGACGCGTTCGGAATTGTCTATTTCTGCGTTGTCCACCAAGAGTGCACAGGGGCTTCACGTTCGTACGGCCACCGCCCATTACTATAGCAACGAGGCAAACAATGCACAGGACCTCAAGCTTTTGAGGTGTTCGGAACGGCTGCTATGAGGAAAAAATAACTGACGTAGTTCATACGGCAACTCTGGGATTCGCGACGTCGGCAGGCAGAAGCAGCAGAGTCTAAAACAGCCCAATAACTTGCCTTCGGAAAGAGAAGGGCAGTTGAAAGTTCAACAGATAGTCCTTAAAAGTTTACTATACAGTACTATAACACTGCAAAATCAAAAACTACTCATTTACATAGGAAGTACGCAATTGTTGAAGACAATATTCTGAGAGAGAAAAAAAAGAATCAAATACCAAACTGTAAGGGAAAATGACTGCCCCAAATGATGCCCCACAGACTTTTATCTCGCCGTATAATTACCAGTTACCAAGAAAATTAGATACTCGGAGTAACCTTCTACACAGCTAAATAAGAATTACAAAATCAGTGGAGTCGGGGAAAGACGAGAACAGATGAAGCCGGAATGACTGAAAAAAGGAGAGCAGCTTGTCCTCGCGAATCGTCAGACTCAGAAACAACAAAAGGAGCATGACATGTTGACAAACTTTGTAGGGTCTCGACGAGCGAATGACACACGATTCACGGCAGCTGGTCGTGAGAATGCTGGGCGGAAGGGGAGGACAGTAATGGGTTATGGGATTGCGAGAGACGCCACCCCCAATCGCCCTTTGTTCACCATCATCTTGGTGCTTGCCACATCGATGCTGCAGCAGCTTCTCAGAAACCGAATAACCGTAACACCGATGATCTTAGGTCTGTTTGGAGAGGAATCAAATGACCGTGGATTCGGACATCTCTACTAGCGGTCGACTTCGCTAGCTGCTTTCCTACCCGAGAAGGCTCCGGCAAAAAAAGTGCCCTCCGTAAAACAATAAATTCTGCACAAAAGAACCTTCGGCAAAGGCTAATGAGACGAGAGACAACGTACCCTCAGGAGATAAGTCGTCGGGTCGAGCTGAAGGCACCGGTTCCGCTCTGGCCGTCGCATCACCTCCGGCCAAGTCTGGCGTGGCTAAAGTCACCTAGGATTACAGCAGGTCAGTGAAGGTACTCACCTTGGCCTGTTCCCCGCGCAGCGTAGGACGGTCTGCCTGCCACCGCGATGAAAGCCTGAGGACAGCGCAAACGTCCGTGAGCCACGGTCTCAAGCTCGACGAAAACACGACCAGCAGTGAGGGGGGTTGGCAGACGAATAGTCAGACAGTGAGTAGCACCTTGCGGAGTCCCACCTGCCTCGCCGACACTGGCTAAGCTCCAGTCGGAGTCACGGAGGGTGCAGTCGTCTACCAGTATCACCGCGTGTCGCATCACTGACTCCTCCAGGCCACGACCATACACTTTAACCATTAAATTGCCTACAGAAAAGCCAGACAGGAAAGACTTTGAGGGTGGGGGGTTAGCGTAACCTTGGTTACCTTGGAAAAGCAAATTTAATAAACACCATGAAGGATTTTTTCATGGAGGCAGTCAAGACATATTGCTGCAGAGATTTCCAAGACACACATAGATCATCAGCAGCGCGGAGCTGGAGAGCAGCTGTTATGATGAACCACATAAATACAAAACGATTACATTTGACAGTCTAGAGTGAGTAGCTATTGCGCTACACTAGTAGTTGCTAGCCGGTAGCTTCAGATTCCTACCAGAGGGAACTAAGTCCTTTCTGATTGGAAAAGAAGGATTAGTTCGTGAATTTGTACGCCTGTGAACAAGCAAACGACTCTTCTCGCTGGAATTGTACTGGATCTGAGATCATCCTACCAGGATGCAAGGTGAGAGTCGGACCCCCCCCACTTAATCCTCCACGACGAAAAGGAATGATGGGGATGGCAGTAGCTTCCGCCATCTGGGTTGCACTGCTGTGAGCGCGGACTGTGCCGCAGCTTCCGATTTGACGCTGGCGTTTGCCACCGCGTCTCACCTACGCTGTCCCCAGAGTTCATGTATGTTACGAACAGGGGATTCACGCTGTACTTGGACGCTTACACGAAGCCCGTAGGCGTGTGTGGCGGGAGTATTTTCAAACGAATGGACTTGTGGGCCTAACAAACATACGGACCAACTTAGCGAATGCCGTTACATAGCTGTCTTTGGCACCTCATTCCTACCCGCGACTCCCGTAGACTGTGATCCACAGAGTAGCCACACCCCCCGTGAAAGTTACTGATCGACGCGCTAAACCAGATGCGGATATCCGGTGCTTAGGAGTCAATATAATCAATATATTTTTTACAGTCCCCTCTCCTTTCTTCCGATCATAAGTGCCACGATGAGGCAGACAATTTCTCCAATAAAACTGCATGTTATCCTCATGTCTGTGATTAGGACGGGCAGTTTTGCCGGTCTCGATATCCTAAAAGTCCCCTTAGACCCAAATCACGTAAGCTGCAAAGGCGTTATAGGCCGCTAAATAGTCAACAACTGCAAAAACAACAGCCTCCGCCTGTTGCCAGTACGCAGGGAACACAGCCTCTCCACTGCCAACTCTAACTGTCGCCTTTAGAATCGGGAGAAGACGACGTGGATGAAGCCTAGGTCAAGTTACTGAGGGCTGCTGGACTACACACTCGTCAAAAGGCGACATTAACGGAAAACTGGATAGGCAATAACCTTGACGATCGGGAGTTGACATTGCAAATTCAACTTCACAAGTGGTCTCAATGTGAGGAAGCTTCAAGGAAGGTAACTACTGCACTGCAGGATCTGAGTAAACGCGGCATAGAGACCAGAATGAACGACGGAGGAGTTCGCAGTCGATACAGGAATACGAACACCCCCCCTCCCCATCTCGGGCAGTCTTGCGCTAAATTCCAGATGGTTAGAGTTGGTGTTAGGGTTTAAGTTCGGACACTGAATTAGGTAGCCCTTCGAGGTCCATATTTGCGCGTTTAACGGAAATGTGGGTTTTCTCGTGTGGGGAAACACACCACATAGTAGTCAGATGGACAACCGAACCGAAGCAGACAATGACGCGTTGCTGTAATGCTGAAGCCAGGTGAAACAAAGACCGAAAAAAGTGCAAAATGACCGATCGATCTGCAAGTAAGAAGGAATTCAAAGATACACAGACAACGCGCAGAAATAAACAACTCATCTTGGCAGGCTTTCAAAATTGAGCCACCACTTTTTTCTGCTTTTCACTCACACGAGAATTTTCTTATATGTACATCCGTTGGCCTATTGTACTAATATATACTGCTTTTTTCCCTCCTTGACTATCTGAACGACAATAATGAGGTTACCTGCACACCACGCTAGCGCAGTTTTGAAGGAAGTCAAATCTGATGCACGTCATACAACTCATTCACCGGCGATTCTTCATGTTGTCGACAGCTGCAGTTCTCAGCAGTTTCCGCTTGTGATCTTCTGGTGTTATCTGTTTTGCGTGTCGATTTTATCCACCGTGAATGGAGTCTTTTTTGATTAAAATTTCGGAATGGTACTTTCAGAATAGGATGGTATTCTCTCTCACTCTCTCAACAACCATCAAGTTAGTCGACGCCCCCTCAGTCGCAATAAACTGCACCGCTCCGGGCACGTGATTGGCGTCCTCAATCAACCTACTGCACCCTCCGAGGAAATCATTATCAGACGTCCTCAGACGGCAAAAAATGCTTGCTGTACCCTACGAAAGAACAATCAGAGCAGTAGGTGTTAAGTGAAGAATCTCTGGCGCTGAGTAAATTCCAACCGGACTCTACACACAAGATGCCTCCAACTAATCGGCATTTCACCTTACTGTTGCACGAAAAGTGGAGACAAGGGTCAATCCTGCGAGACCTTGAAGACAACAGGTAAATCTTCGAAAATCATCACGCACGCACTCGCTAGCGCTGGAATAACAGGGGGCTAGATCAGAGGCTGGCAGGCGTTATCATGAATGTACATCCACAACAAATGCCTACATTTGGGGTGTGGCCGCAGACCCAGTGGCCGGCTCGTGTCGTGCAAATTGGGATCCGTGTCGTCCTCCCATAAATTCTTGCTCAAGTGTTTGTGGACCAGGGGGTGTGGTGGTACGTCTAGATGGGGGTTTCCGCCGTGCCAGCAACCTGCGCCCTCTCCGCTCCCGGTCTTCTTGACTCTGTCTTAACATGGGATCCGGGTGGGGAGGAGTGAGTGCGTCAGGCGCTTCGCAAGTCTACTATCACTGTAAGAAAGATTCGGGGCAAGTCACCGTCCCTGTTCTGCCCTGTTTTGGAGCATACGGTAAATATCGTCGGTCTTGACGGCCAGATTGTCACCGTGAGGGACGGCCTCGAAACAACATCAACTACCGAGCCAACGGCCGGCTTCCTAATATCCGGCGCAAACAGACCACAGTCTGCGATCTCTTGTTCGCGGGCGACTGCGTGCTGGACACCACAGCCGGACCGAGCATGCAGCGCGGCGTGGACCTTTTTTGCCTCCGGCTGATCAAACTTCGGAATTGCCACCAGCATGGGGGAGACAGATTCTCAAGTACCAACAGACACCGAATGCAACGATGGCCTCAGTTTCTGGCCATCGGAATGTGGTAGGTGTGGGTAGGAAGAGTGTACTAGATGCATGGAAAGTTCATGCCACCATAAACAATGTCATACTTACATCACCATACCGGCAACCTTGTGAGGCAGTGATGGACAGTGACGGCGTAAGTATCAGTTCCGTGAGTTGAAATGTGTATCTTAGGACGGACCTCTTGTGCGGACTAAAGACCACGGCAGAGATTCGTTGATGAGCATAATATTTGTTCTCAAATTTTCATCCTTTGAACATTGGCCCTCTATGCCTCTTCGCCAAAAGGGTAGCATACAGGTGACAATCCCTCCGAAGCGCAAGACTGGAATTTACTAATAGTCCTCAGACAAAAAGCTAGGAATGGGCGCAAAAAGTTAGACATACGACGACGAAGACCCCGACACTGTAGACGCCATTATTGAAAGTGTTCCATTACATTTCTGAAAACTGGATAAATAGGTCAGACACCACGTAGGTCTTGCTGTGTCCGCGGCAGTTTTAGACTGCACGAAGTCTGCGTGAGGCAATGGCTTCAAAGTACTGTCGGATGAACATTCTTCTACGCAGTTAATTTACCGTAGTAGAGTTCAGGTGGATTAACCAGTGGGGGTCTTGCAGTATAGAAGTAGCCTGTGTGTAGATGCTCACTCCGCTCTCTAGACTGTCACGTGCTTCACCCATGCCGAGTAGTTTTACGAGGTGGTGCAAGTGTCGAAAATGAAGCAATCAACGCCCTCGGTTTTTTTCTAGGTCATAATGGAACAGGTGATTCAGAAACATTTTGCTGCGCCTCAGACTATGCGCTCCGGCGTACAGCAGCGTTGATAAAAAACCTCGGAGATGGCTCGGGGGGTAGAGTTCGGTTCCTGTGGAAGAAGGCAGTAAAAAGCTTTCGTAACACGTCCTACTAAGCGTGTCATCCTGTAAGCAGGCCAGACCAACGAATGCTAATCACACGTGATTCAGATATGGTCTGCCAATTAGCATTTAGCAAACGTCGCCTCCGCATGTGACAAAATGAGCATAAATCATCTGCATTGTAGATAAATGATTTGTGTTCAGTCAGTACGCTAATTTTTCCCGTCTAAAACTTCCGACAGAACATTACAGCGAGGAGCATGTGCTACTTTTGACTGAAAGGACAGATTTCGATTAACGACTTTTTCCAATAAAATCGGCTCAGAACGAGTTCAAAAATTCTTCTATTCCAGTTTGCAGAAGGACAAGAATTTAAAACTTCAAGATTCACTGTGCAGAACTTAAGCCTTTAAATGGAGCGTTTATGAGATGCGCCTTAATGGAGTACAGGACGGGTGTGTATTAGGCAATTAAGCCATAAGGAGGACGCTTATACTATGCAGTATCACCTTCACCTATTCTGTAAAGCAGTTCGTCCTAGAGACCATATTCCGCACTGCTAGGGATTGTTAAAGATTGGAAAGTGAACGGTTGTATCGGTGAAAAAGTTGGTTTGATGTGCTGTAAGCAGTCTGTAGGGAACGGTATGGAGAAGAACCCCACGTAACGGATGACAGACTGTGGGTCACGTCATATGGGCTTTTATCAGCTTACTGTCTAGTGTGCTGCCCCACCAGTAAAACTAACCTTATCACCAATCCCATATGACACGATCCACAGTCTACCGGCAGTCAAGTGGAGGGAATTGCATTCACGTTATCTAAACAATTAATTTCCTTTTTTAAAAAAGTTGGTATACCATATTCAGCAGCACATTAAAGTGTGATGAAGGCTATAGACAACGAATAGATCATTCTTAAGTTGCTTTATAAAATTTGGCGGACGCCACTTTTCCATTGTCTATGGATGGGCAATAAAACCATCCTCATGGTCGTAAGTACATGGTTGCAAAAAATCGTGTCTTTCAACCAAACAAATCAAGTTTTTGGTAACATGTTTTCGTGTGCTATGCGGAATTATTATTAAGTGAATACTGACGACTAAAAACGAGGAAACTAAAGGAAATTAGTAAAAAAGTGGAACAGGACTGTTTCTGCACCAGCAATCAGGTTTCTGCTACTTGAAATCGTTCTGACTCATATCATCATAGTTGCGTTATAAAGAAATACCACCAATAAACAGCAAATATATAGAAAAAATCAGTTTACGTACATGGGCCGTCAGTTGTAAATAGCACCCAAAGGTTCACTGGGCCACAGCGCATTTAACCAAACGCTCTTACCATCTGAGATATTGTTGTTATCCCACAGTATACTTTCGAGCAATAAACCTTCCCCATCGACTGAACTCGGCACAGGCAGTTAAGATATTTTTCTGAACTATCAACCTTTGAACTAATGACCTCAGATGGCTGTTCAGCCGAAGGAGAAAGAACTCTTGCAGCTAATATAATGTCGGAATACATAATTGTGCAGACCCCTTAACTTTACCTTTGACGGCTTTTCAAACAAGAAGCCCTGCTCCCTGACTTAGGTTTCTCTATGCATTCCCCTCTTTTGCTAAATTCTTGGTATTTATCGATGGGGCCTTGTAGCTCAGCTGGCTAGAGCGTTGTTTGTGCTAAAGCCTTCCAATTGTTGTAGTGAGTGCGAATCCCACCAAAGTCGCCAAGTTTTTCACAGTTGAGTCAGAATGAAATCCTTGGTAGTCTTTTTGATCTTAAATTCTCTTTCTAGCCTTTTAGTACTTTTCACCGTTCATTTTTTTCTTACTAGCACCCAACTGTCTGCAGGTTGTATCTGTTGTGGCAACTTCGGTCCCTGCGGTTGGACACAAGGGTGGAAATTGTTGCTTGGAGAGGGAGGATACTCGCGCAGTTCACCTTTCCCTCTCTCCCTCTCTTACCTGACAACAAGACAAGGTGGTCAGGATAGATGATGTAGCAGTTTAAGCCTTAAAAGTCAAATATCAATCTCAGAAATGTGTAGCATCCGGGGAAAGAGAGAGAACTTCACGTGAATCCCTCCTCAAAGACGAGGAATAGTGAAAAAATAGAAGACTGCCCTTTTAGTGATCAAGGAACCGCATAAACGTATTGCACATGCTCTTGGGTCAGTTTTAACTATAGTCCATCTTTTTTCTAAAAATGGAGAGAGATCAGGCGAGTTTAATGGTGGAAGAACAAGGAAGAATCTTCGTCCCATTAGTGTAATTCAGTAAGAACAATTACATTGACTAATTTATTCGACGATGTTCGTCATTAAATGAAGCCCCGAGGCACACATTTACTGATAGTATCATAATTTCCCACCGCTTCAAGAGTCTATCGGACGAGCAGAAAAGCCGTTAACATGCGCGAAAAACCTCGCGGTGATGCTTGTCTCTTATTCATGAGCATAAAATATAAACCACTCGCCTAAATCTTTGCAGTTGTCTAAAACGCATGCTGCAACGATAGTGTCTGCAAGTATTCTGGAGAAACCAAATGATAACCCCTGACGCGCCTGTCGGATCGGCATTCGACAACACAGAGATCAGGCCCCAGAAAGCACATTGAAATACATGCGGGTCACACTAAGCCTACTTTTAATATTAGAAGATTGGTCGATCTAGGCCGAGATAGTCTAAGAACTGGGTGGATCATGCTGATGATGTGGTTTCCATATGTCAGCTTAGACGACCAGAACACCCATGTCCCTTTGATTTATCAGAACTTACAGAGAAACTTCCCAGACGTCACGAGGCGATGGCTGTAGTGGACTCCGTAAGTTTAGCCCTGGGTTCGACCAAAGCTGATCTAATGTTTAGCTCGCTTCGAGAGATGGCCGGCGACGCATCAGGTTGAATGACTACCACCAGCACAATGACGACTCATAGCACATGCAGGTCACGCTGTGCACAATCAGACATAAGAAGAGCTGTCAAGTCAGTGAAACTAAAGCGATCAAGGAAAAAGCCAGCCACTCCAAGGCTTCATTTTTATTTCCGTTTGAGCCTGGCACAGGCATTATAGAACAGAAACGTGGTCTAAGTTACCTTTAGGATCGCCTTGCTAGTTAGTCAGGAAATACCGATTCTTCTTGCATAATTGGGAATCCCGCCATCGTATCTAGACGCTTAGTTTGCTAGTGTGAAGTCAGGAGGTCGGTGGTTCGACTCTATCTGTCAAAAGCACATTCTATCCATTTGAATTTCCCTATTCTACATAGTCTGTAATTAGAAATCTCAGAAGCAGGAGTATATGTTGATTACGCAGGCCACTTTTTGACAGTGGGCGACGGTGCTGAAGAACGTCAGCGAACTGAAACAGTGACTTCCAACAATAGCATCCAAAGACTCCAACTTTCGTTTGCTTGATGTGTCTTAAACGTTAAAGCCGAATCAATCAGTGTCGTGGGGGGGGGGAGACGGTTAGCTCCTATCTTCGCAACAGGCGAAACTTCGTAAACTCTTATGTCTACTTTATACGTCGACCTGGCGGGAAGTTTTGAAGATGAGAACCGGCAATTTAAACTACCTGTTGTAGGTCCCGAAGTCGGCGTAATCGCCAGAAGTTGAGGACCTTCAATATTGCCGTGTCGCTCCTCCTCCTCCTCCTCCTCCTCCTCCTCCTCCTTCTCCTCCTCTTCCTCCTCCTCCTCCTCCTCCCCGTCCTCCTCCTCCTCGTCGTCGTCGTCGTCGTCGTCCTCCTCCTCCTCCTCCTCCTCCTCCTCCTTCTCGTCCTCCTCCTCATCCTTCGAGTGAGCTTTCCCGATACCGGAATGAGGCAGCGTAGGCGCACCCTGTTGGCTAAGTCCGACTGGAGAATGCTCCGAATTGCTGTCTGATGAGGCTTGGGATTCTGACTTCACCTCACCACCACCATCATCATCATCGTCGTCATCATCCTTATCATTGTCCTCAATATGCTCGTCCTTTATTGCTTCTTCTTTAGAGCTTTCAGACTCTTCTTTCCCACCCTCTTCCTTCTGGCCATGACGGTGGTCATCTTTCGCCTGCTGCGTGCCCTGCAGGGATTTCGGCTCACCTAGGACCTGCAACGGAGCAACCTGGTCCGCAGTGGACCCTAACGGGCTGCTACGGGTACATTCAGCTCCGGTTTTAAAACCCACATCAGAAGCTGCAGTGGTAACCGGTGGTAAGAAGTTCGTCTCAGCTAGTTTAAACTCCTCCTCCAAAGACCTCTGGTTCCGAACTCCATGTGGAGAGCCAGGAGGCTGGGTTTGGGCGGCGTCTGTCGAAATAGGAGCGGTTAAATTGGTTGTCGAGAGTACCTTGCTGTCCTCCGCAGGGACGTCGGACTTGACGTCGTCATCGACGTCAGAAGTTTGTGATCTGGCCTCCTCTTTCTCCTGTGAAGTTGACGGAGCTGAGGACGCCACAACTGCTTCCGGTACGGAAATAACGGTAGGCAGCACATTAGCGTCTGGAACTGACGGGGCCGTAACTGTGAGGTTTGGTAAAGTGTCGACTGCAGTGCGACTCTGCTGAGAACTGGCGCTCTCCAAAACGAAGTCCGACACCTTTGGTCCTGTTTCGTCAACCGGTGGTTGAGCCAGTTTGTCTTCATTCTCCATTGTTAAGGACGCTGAGAGTACCTTTGAGGGTGAACCTAGTTGGAGAGAGCAGACAAAGTTAGTACGTGCAGAGATGCTGCATGTACTTGAAGTAAATGTACAGGATTCACAAACGTAGGGGCGGCAGAAAATTCAGGGAGCACCCGGATTCAGTACGAAATTAGGAAAGGGTGGATCAAACTGACACTCACTTCTTAATGGTGCTTCAGTCATAGCCTCGGTCGCTTTTATATCTTCCATGGGTTTCTGCGAAGAATCGGCAGGAGACGTCGGGACCGACGAAGTAGGCTCTTCCGGAATGGGCTCCGGTCGCATCATCCTCCGTCGACTGTCCACCCTGACGAGGTCTTGATTAAACCGAGTGGGCGTGCCTAGAAGCCCGCAGAAGAGAAAACCGCATAGGAAATATCGCCGCTTTGCACACGATAGTTTACCAGATGGACTATAGAGACCACCGTCCCTTATAATAAATTCTAACATAAACCAAGCCAAGTCTCGGCAGTTTCGTCCACCATTGCACTTTTCGATTATTCAATGAAAACGCATGACAAAATGGCCCAAAGGATGTTTGAAACACATTACTTCGCAGGCGACTAATCAGGTAGCATGCAATCTTTACATTGATTTTAGATGCCCTTATAAATCTCAATACATTTAATTGAAAACAGGCAGGAAAACATTTCTTCTCGTATAATCATTTGGCAGCAAACTGCGTCATCGAATTTTATGTAAGAAAAAGGGCATCAGTCGGTTTTAGAAAGTTTTTAATTATGAAATTTTTAGGACCATATGATGCCCAATCAAAGAGCATGTTTATTATTGCTCGTCATGAAATATTGAATATAACTGATATTCATTACACAATTTCATGAGTCCTAAATAATATCTTCTTAATCGCATGCAGGAGTGTCTGATTTTATTTGAACGGAATGTGTACAGCATGGAGACCGAAAACCCCGAACGTGAAAAAGGCAGAAGGAATCAGAGTTATTTGAGAACTAAAAACGTTTATGAATACGCAAAAAATCCTTTTTCGTCTGAAAAATTACGAGACCCAGTGCAGTAACAGATGAATACAGGTGAAAATACTTTTGACCATGCTTTCTGTAGAATATATTCGAAAGGAGGTACATTTAAAAGTCAGCATCCTGCTATGCCTGAAATTTCATGGGATTAGGCTACACGGTAATTAATATTACAATTAAACTTAAGTACTCCTTCCTAATCAACAAGGTATTTCAGAATTTCGGCTAACATTTCATGAGATCGATCACCGGTTGTGAGCATTTACAGTATGAAATGGCTGCACGATCCCAAATTCGCAACCCTCGCGGACGCAAAATCATCACTTCAATAACCACCATCGATGATAAAACTGCAGTCACTAACCCCTCGGATGGGGTTGATCAAGCAATCATTCAATAGGTACAAGCCCCGTCGATTAATCCGGAAGAGGTTGATTATGATAGGCAACTGCATCCTTTGAATTCGGCACAGCTTGTGCATGTAGTACCCTAATCTACTGCTGCCTCTGATGATGGGTTCGTGTATGAATGAGAAACATCAGGCTAGCAGCAATTTCCCGAAACCCGTCCTGTAGCCTGCTTCCCCATCTACATAAGCCAAAGAAAAAAGAATAAATTTAAGGACATGGATGTGGTCAGAATAGTTCAAGAAGAGCAGCGAAAAGCAAGGTTTTCTCCGAAGATCCCCGTAGACAAGGAGATATGCTTCCTATGAAAGGATTAATCATGAGCAAGGGAATTTCCCCGGCATGGGTTGATGGCAGGAATGGATATGCGCACTAATGTTTACTCCGGAATTTTTGTCTAGGACGCTGGCGGATGGTTGCATAGTAACGAGTAAACAAGATCCGAGGCGTATCGGCAGCAAAACACGAGACATTGGAATGGCTGTCTCAAGACGATGACGGGGCGTAAGCCTGTTGTTTAGTGGTAGAACGCCTACTTCGATTAATATGCTTGGGTCCGCGGGCTTGACTTTCTAACCTCTGGTCTGGCTGATGGAGGCAAATAAGCAGGAGTTGGTCATGGGAGTTTGCCCTGCCCTTGTATGTAATGCATTTCGTAAAGTTTAGCCAGAAATCCTCACCAAACTTTCATATGCATCGTCCTGGAGATGGGAACATATGCGTTTCAGCCTAAAAACCTATTATACCGTTTAAACTTGGAGACGTTGCATAATTAGCTTTGCGACCCCATAGCCGATGGGACTCAGTCTCAACTAACTTAAGGCATGGAGGAATTATGTATTTTCTGTCACAATCACCGTGAGACACGGATTTTATCCCCTGCGGATTCTCGATTAAAAGGTTATGCACAGTGACCCAAATGCATCTTAATATCCTACCTTCCCTGCAAAATAGAGATAATTGTAAGGATAGTTATTAAGCATGAATTTCAGCAAGGAAAAAACGTGCATAAATGCGAGACCTACTTCTTGGAACTGACTGACTGACATCGGGGACCGATTTCACATCCCCCACAGGCGATTTTGACGTCAATAAAGTGGGCTCTTCGGCGATGGCTTCCGGTCGCATCATCCTGCGGCGGCTGTCCACCCTGACAATGGGTGAAACAAACCGAGTTGGAGATCCTAGAAAACCAGGCAGCAGGTAATGATTTTGGGATAGAGAAAAGTGCGAAGAAAACCATTCCTGATTCTGCAAAAATACCAAAAGCCAGTCTTAAGTGGGTTGGGGCATCTAACCACTTCTACACCCTTCTGAAATAGCATGACCCATATAACAAGCACTCAGTTTCAGTGAAATCTTAGTAACAGTGAATAGCTCAGGCTAAAAAAGTCGTTTAAGTGGTAGCAATGATACAACAGGCGGTTATTCGCCAAGAAAAGATTACAAAGGTTTCTCTGAATATGCAGTGCGGACGTTGCGCTGAGTCAGCAAGGGGGCCCAGGGTCCGACACGGGTCATTGGGCTGCGTATCCATAATGAAATGCTTTCTGTAGAATATATTCGGGAGGAAGTGCACTCAAAAGCCAGCATCCTGCTGTGCCTGGAATATCATGGGATTATGCTGCAAGACAATCAATATTACAACACTACTTAAGTAATCCTTCCTAATGAAAAGGGCGTCTCAGAATTTCGGCTAACATGTCATGAGATTGGTCACCGGTTGTGGACATTTACAGGATGAAGTAACTGATCAACCATATACCTATTGCAATGATACAACAGGCGGTTATTCGCCAATAACAGATTTCAAAGGCTTCTCTGAATATGCAGTGCGGACGTTGCGCTGGGTCAGCAGGGGGGTCCAGGGTCCGACACAGGTCATTGGGCTGCGTATCCATAATGAAATTTCATACATGGGGGAAGGGGGCTGTGGTGGCCCGCCTAGGCGTAGGCTCACGCCACGCCTGTCACCTGCGCCAGATCCCGCCTCCGATCTTATTGGATCTGTCTTGACACCGGACTCAGGTGACTGAGGGGGGGAGAGAGTGCGATGGATGCTGCGCAAGTGTCTTATTGTCATAAACTGATTTATGCGCAAGTCGAGGTTCTTGTGCCCACCTTGCTGTGGAGCACTCGATTACTATCGTCAGTAACAACGACCAAACTGACATGGCAAAATGTTTGAAAATTCCACAAAAGACCAAAACACACGTAGTGTTTCAAGAAGTCTCCGTTTGCATAGACAGAAATTTCGAGTGCGCCAAAAGAAAGCGGGACATTCCCGATGAAAACATTCGTTAACCTGCTCAATATATATGTATATATAGGTGCCAGGGGTCACGAACAGGCAACCACCTGGCAGGCTAAAGTCGGCCGAGCTATGAGAACAGAGGGGAGACGACAGAGTCTGAGTGGTAAATTGGCACAGGATTGTTTTGGGCTTGTTCACCTTAATTCATCCAATCATAACTCTGACTACCAGCTGGAACCGGAGACAAAAACATGCGCCCATACACTTGGCGCAGCTGGCCTACCACTAGGTCTACAAGATGGGCCATAAGCACTTCATCGAGTCGAAGTTTATCAGTGCCTCGCCAACTGCCATTCTCTGCCGCTGGTAGATCCCAGTGGTCGACCAGCCGCGCTAGGTGTGTTCATGTTTCCGGTCCCAGCTGGTGGTCAGGGTTATGGTTGGCTGAATGAAGGCAAACAGGCCCGAAACAGTTATGTATCAATCTACGCCCAGAGTGTCGTCTGTCCTCAGATATAAATTTGTGCATTGATATTTCTCTTAGAACACACTTTCTGAAATTGGGGACGATGGCTGACATGATTTGGCGCATGCTTTAAACGATCTATACTCTATACAGAAATCGACAATGCGTGAAAGCGTCTTGTCAATTACAGCTGTAGTTTTAGAATCTGGAATCGAGATAATCGCAAGCCATTTGCCACGTCAATGTGCCCTAATTACATTTGAGTTCATTATGCGGGATCATCATAGGAGAAAATCTATATGACTTTAGCCTCACTACATAAAACGACTACCAACACCTAGTAAGTTTGGATAGGTGTGGGATAGGTGAAATGTCTCCCAGAACGAAGAACCCGGAAGCGTTCAGTTTCAGTTTTTTGCAGACAGAAACTACAGGCATTGTGGTAATGTCCAAAAACGACCACGAAATCACAAAAACGGCTACCAGAAATGTTGACGGTATCCTAATGTGTTAGAGGGAAATGCAGAAAAAAGCAACTGAACAGTCTGTGACCAAGTAAGACAATCCGGTGTCATAAGCAACACTCATATCAAAACTTGTTCCCTGTACCCTTAGTACTGATAGTTTTAGCAGTTGAAATTCAAAAGGTAAACTTTTATCTTGTTTTTTTGATTGCGTTTTATTCAGATGACGGCGTTTCACATGTCTAGCTCACTGTGCTAATGAGGACACCTTGAAACGAACTAGGTTTGGTAGATCGCCGAATACTTCACAAAGGCTCCGGGTGTCACGTGGATTCCTTAACGGAAACGATGCAGGCGCGTCAAAAAATGCGTTGACGAATTTTAGTTTTACTGGCAAATCTTCCCACATAATGACCGTTGCCGTTTCTCCATAACATAGTAAATTCAAATACCACGCTAAACGAGTTTTTACATTCTTTTGAGTGGCCATTACCTGTGGCTTAAGAGCAATCTGTTATTTAGTCAACTTTGAATAGAGCGTCACTTCACCCTGACTGACAGAGGATTAGTGAATTGCCTCAGCGGTAAGTTTTCTTGAAATCAAAAGTAGGGCCGAAAGTTAGCCAGAACGTTTCACACGCATTGAGTAAAATTAAAAGGAAACCCGCTCTCATAATCAACTGAAGCGAGATGGTTCCCGGAAAAGGTGTGGTGGTTGCACTTAATGCATGCAAAATACCAACTCTCGAGGCACGCAGTTGTATGCAAAGCAAAAAAGCCGAAACTTCTGGAGGAGAAAAACTGCTAGATAAACTCACCTTAGCTACCTTGGAGGAAGTCGGATAGGCGGGGAAAGCATTAAGAAACTACAGTCAATGCAATGGAAAATTGTTGTCAGTATGCCAACCTAAGCTGCTACTGAGGTCGAGTTTAGGGTAAACTCAGTTAATGACAACTTTTCAGACTTCAGTAAATCGCAGTGAAGGTTATAAGGCATGCAATGGTTGGGAATTGGGGTCAGAAGGTCGAAGACAATAACAAGATGTTCTTTTTCTAACAACCCGGATTACTTCAAAGGCCAATATAAAAAAATTTACGAGAATTTTCCAGAGACCTACCTACAAAATTGTTTCACGAGAAACTGGCTTTATTCAGCATGCAGCAAAGCGTGTAACAAAACTGACTTTTAAGGTATTACTGACTGCCATATGGGTTCCCCAACAGTCTTTCAAATTTCTAGGCCTCGCAAGATCTTAAAAACGGAATTTCTGCGGCGCTGAGAGGGTAAAGTCAACTCGGTTACCTTACAACAAGTAACTGTCAAGAAGTCCTGTTTGGATCAAGTTATTACGACACTCTTAACACACACACGACGGGGGATGAGCTTCACACCAGATAACCAGGCGGAAACATGCGATCAGTAACTTAAAGGACTAAAAATACGCACAATCTTTGTGCAAATGCTGAGATGACTTTGTGCTGTGCAAATAAAGATCAGCGTATATTCGAAGAGGAAGAAAATCAAAAATGTGTAACATGTGATTATGTAGCCCCACCTGATGGACACAGCACTGTTGGGGTTGGGGTTATGTTTAGGGTTAGGGCAATTATTTCTCAACCAGTGGAGGTACAACCACGTACTCCCAATAGCTTTTCTTTTGCATACAACTACTTGACCCCCTCGTCTGTGCATTTCACAGCCCCACCTGTAAAAACCCCTATTACCACCGGTCCCGTATTACAGGTGGCTGGGGTTTGTCAGCTGGGGCTACATAACCACATCTGATCCGAAAATGCCATTAATACGTCAAAAGCGGATGTTTTCAGCCTTCCGCAACCTAGAGGATGGGCACCGTCGCTTTTGCAGCATACTAGTTACATTTAGAGAACTAGACTGATTTTTGGGTGAGCTGAACTGTAAGCAATGTAAGATTCTGTGCTTTGCATGATCACGGAGCGCCGGACTGCCTTTCAGAAATTATTCTACGACGCGATAACATTTAGAATAACTGCACGCGTTGTGTGAGTGATTAGACCATGCTGGCAGAGTCCATAAACCAAAAATATTCCACATTTCATTTGTGAGTTGAGAGACCAGACTCCTCTCAAGCAGACAGTTCGTGAACGTTTAGACATAAAGTGCTAAAAAAAATAACTTGTCAGACTGATTATAGTGAGATAAGCACCGACCTGGATTGAGGATAGACGGCTTGGTATCGACCCAGACAGTCAAAGGTCTGTCTGCAACGCCTCAGCTACGTGTAGAGATAGAGGATCATTTTGAACTGCCGGCTCAAAGGTCAAGGGTTGCAGCCAAAATGCATGTCTCCATTTCAATTTTCAATTACCGCATTCGAATAGTAGCACATTCACTCAATTGAAAGTCAAAATTTGTCTTCAAATGCGTATGAAGCCACAAGCAATACGTCACCTCCCCTTCCAGATATTAAGTCAAAAAGTCTCTGAGGAAACTTAAGGCCAAATCTTGCTAGAACCAGACTTTCCCTCAACAAAGATGAGTAACGAAGTTGGCGATCGGTAAGGCGTACTTACAGTCAATTATATCATGTATGGTTCGGTACTGAAGCGCTTGACACGATAGTGTGCACATATGAATGACCTTGAGGACCTGAAATAAAAGCTAGACATAGAACCCGCAGATTTATTTCAAGATCACACACGACGCTAGATACCACAACATGTTCTAATGGCTACTAAACTTAGCATGCGTAAAAATAAGTTATTTCCACGCATACAGTGACAGTCACAAATAACAAAAGTCCACAAGTGTTTTCCCCGGATTTCTACCCATAGCACTTTCTGAAAACCGTATAACAGTAATGCATGTCCTGCAGTGCTCCGGCTATTCAGTTGCCTTTAGTCAGGAAAAATATGTGGTTTATCGCTTAACTAACTATCTCTAAGGATGGGCTCCCACACGAGTTCG